CTACAATACTACAGCGAGAATAAAAGTTAGCCTTCTTTCTTTGCTTGAACATTTGGGCGGCGTTATGCAAATCTTCCAACATCGTGACGTAGATATGTGGGGGCGTGTTAGAACGAGCCGTTTTAGGTAGGTGTGTTTGGCTCTTAACTTTTATAAAGAATATCTCTTTGGATTTGAGACTTTAGTCTTTGCAACTTTACAGATCTTCTTTATGCACTAAGAGCTTGTAATACTCCAAAGAAAAAGGAAAAATTGAAAATCGCATCATATGACCCCTTTAGGATGGAGGAAAACTACAGAGTACAAACAATTAAAAGTAACAACTTTTTTAATGGACAAGCATTGATGCATATTTGCAGTTTAAGTGGAAAAGATAACTGACCTGAGGAGAGGTCTGACATTCTCAATTAAACTTTGCATTTCCAGGAATTGCCAGGCATCACAACCTGAGGGAAGAGAGATCGCTATGAGCGAATAACCAAACATTGCCATGATAAACTATACTGTATTGAGGAAGCTCATGCAATCTGCCAAGTTTGAGTCATGCAACTCAAGCTTTTCCAGGTAACTTTTTAGGTAGGACATTTGAGTATTTCAATACGTTAAACAATTAAATCGCAAAAGAAAAAAAAACAGGAGCAGCATTACAAACAGATGGATCTAGATTTGACACTGAGCACTTTTAGCATGAGTTGCATTACAGTTCTGCTCTAGAACGTTAGTACAAAAATATTATAAGCAAAATCTATTACTGTGTGTTTGTATATTTTTTTCCACTTTACTTTTATATTTTTTAACGACAGAATCTTTTAAATCATTGCACGCTGTTACCAAACAGTTTTAAGTATATAAATGTAACACTACTCACTTACAAATTTAGGGTTAGGGTTACCTTTACAATGCTGCACTTAAAAGTTTAACAGTCCTCTCCTGTCCTTTTGCTAAAAGCAGCCAACTTGTCTTTGCATCAGTCTTGACAAATATGGCCCCTGCATAACTTAACTTTTAAATTCAAATTATTTCAGGCTGTAATACATTTCCCATTCCGAGTGAGACCAAAAATAAAATGTCATTCAAGAAAAGTTTAATACATACCCAAGCATCGAATGCTTTAGTTCTCTCTATAGACATTAGGAAGCTATCCAGGTTATTTTAAAGAGCACAGGTCTTACCTCTAGGGTCCTTTTTAAGTATAAAAAGAGAGAGAAACATTAAAGGTGTGCTTTTAATTGTCAAATCAAACACTTTAAACAGACTCCTTTAGTGTAGTTTACGTCTTCAGTCTACATGCATTGTTTTAAATTTAAAATCTGTTTTTGAAGAGGAAGAAAGGTTATTATAACTTAAGAGTTATTTAAAAGGCCATTTCAGATTTTAAGACAAAAAAAAAAAACAGGTTAAAGTTTCATAAAAAACAATCTAGGCTTTATTGACAACTGCTGCAAAACATGTTTTGGACAGATTTAGTTACCTATTTAGGCAAGCTTACACATGTGTCATTCTGCATTTTATGGAGAGGATACAAATACTAAATGGCAGTAAAGTACAGTTTGGATGTGGGTTGTTGTTTTTTTCTTTTTCCTTTTTTAAATTATGTACAATAGAGTCGGTTTTAGCTGCAGTATCCCTTTACATAAGAAAGAGATGACCCTTGTGGAGATTGTTGTCCAAATCCTTTCAAGCAGTTTGTGCATGCAGTTTATATAGCATGGTGTCATCCATGATAATCTGACATTATTTTTTTTCCCTTTTAAACATAAGTAGCCAAACTGCAGAACACTTTTGAAGAGTAACATCTTATTTTAAACAAATTAAGGATTTGAGGACATTCCATCTCAACAGCGTCTAATTGGGCTATATTTCAAAACTCTAAAGATACAAGGAAAAATAGAGGCCTAAATCTACATTTACAGCTTTTAAGACTATTTAAATCAAATGAGGAATAATCAATGGCTGTTGGAAATACCATTAAAGACATTTTGTATTTCAGTAATTTATATTCCTTATTACAAAACAGACATTACATTTAGGGTATTTTTGATATGCTAGTATTAAACAGAATTTTGAAATGTAGCCTACATGGGAATCTGCAACTGCACCTCAGCAGAGTTTTTAAGGTAACACATTAAAGTGGCGTCCTGAGACACAAAAAAGTGGCTGTACAGTTGGTTAGGCTTTACCTTTCAGCTAAATACTTTTTCCAGTCATTGGAACAAACGTTTACCATCGACATATGCAAAAAAGCAAGGGTAGGTATGAGCAGAGGAAGAGATATTGGCAAAAACAACAAAACAAAAATAAACCAAACAAAAAAACAGCCATGTTTAAACTAATCCTTCTAAAGTTTTTGTTTATTCTTGAGGCATTCAAATGCCGTTCTGTCAAGTTTCTTTTAAAAAAGTCCGGAGTAAAAAAACACAACCAAAAAAAACAAACGGACAATTACTTTTGTCGGGTAGCTTAAAGCGTGAGCTGCCATGGGAGACAGTTGTCATGGCGACGCGTTGGGTGACGTTCCACTAGTCAGATTTAGTATCGTCCATAGGGGGGCTCCCTTAACCCAGGCTTAGTCTGTCTCTGAGTGGGAGCTTTTCCACCGCCAGCAGAGCGCTGCATCCCGTTCCAGTCATTTTGAGCTGTGGGACCAAACACAGTGCAAGTATATAAGATAACAGCAAACAAACTATAGCTTACCAAGGTGTAAATGACCTTCACTAAGCCCCACCTTAAAAACATACTATAGCTTTCACATACTGTTTACGTATTATGTCCAAATTCATAGCATTTGAAGATTTCATACTACCCATATTCATACTAAACAGAATGTACTTGTTCAACAGTGACAAAGTTTCAGACCAAATATAGTACCTACTAGACAGTATGTGATTTCAGAAACAGCTTATGCATCAGGCCTTATTTCCAAATGTACATGTATAACATTTAGTGAGGACTCGCAGGTAGTAATACTTCCTTATTTATCTTGAAATACAGAAACCGTTCTGTTCAGTTACATTAACATTATCAAATGAGTCCTCATCCTTAAAACAACTATAATAAATGTTTGAAAACATTAGCAACAGCAAACCATGGGATGGGAATTAAATTACCCTATAACAGACCAGGAAACTAAATCTTTCACATAAAACATTTAAAATTCAAAAGGTGAAAAAATAAATAAATTAAAAAAAACACCTTACCGTAGTTTTCATATCCCTCCTGTGTCTCTCCATGTCCGTAGTCATAGTATTCTGGTTCTCTGAAAAACAATGCAAGTACAAACACTGTTCAAACGAACAACTCTTACACAAGAGAACCTGGCCTGAATTTCCTAAAATAACAAACTAAGCCAAGAGCACTGTGCTTTTAAAACCCTGGGATGTTTCCAAAAAGCCTCCATAAACCACAATAATTATAAGCTGTTGTTATAAATTATATATAATTATAAATAAGTTGGTCTTTTTGAGGAAACCTGGACTTTCCAAGTCCCAAATGTACTAAAATGTACTATTAACTTACGCTTGTGGCTGACTGTAGTAGCTGTCATAGGATTCATAGCCTGCATCTGTGTAGCTCGCGTCATAAGACTGAAGAAAAAAATAAATCAATCAATCCACAGCAGCATAAACTTTCAAGATACTAGGACACTCAACATCTTCAAAGCAAATCCAGAAAATAAATAAACATACATAATCTTCGTATGAGTCTTGGGTCGGAGGGTGTGGAGGGGGCATCCGCTGAGATGCAGGGGCAAGTGGACGGGCACGGTTGGAAGCTGCTCCTCTGGGCGGCTGGGCTGATGGTCCACCTCTACCTGCAGGAGCTCCCCTTGTGGCTCCACCTCGAGGGGGTCCGCCACGGCCACCACGTGGGGGCATACCACGACCCCTTCAAAAGTAAAAAGTGTTACGTTTTCTCTGCATTAATACCAGTTTTAGAATCTGAATGTAAATTCAGCTCAAACTAAAAGTCACAAATAATCATTTAAAAAGGTGTGCACATTGGTGTGGGTACCTGGGTACTCCAGGAGGAGGAAGACCTCCACGGCCTCTGATGGGTGGCCCTCCTCTGCCTCTGCCTCCGCCTCCATGTTCCTGATCGCCATTTAGAAACTTCATCTCCATGAACTGCTCCTGGCAAATCTCATCCATCATGTCCTGCAAGACAGGCGCACAGCTCACTACATTTAGTCATTTAGCAGACGCTTTTATCCAAAGCGACTTACAAATGAGGACAATAAAAGCAGTAAAAACTAACAAATGACCAACAATATACAAGTTCAAATGACAAGTCTCGGTTAGCCTAACGCAGTACACGTAGCAAGGTGTATATATATATATATATAAGACTTGCCGGTATTCGGTAATGCGATATATCACGATATATTAGACTTGTTCCGGTATTCGGTAATGCGATATATCACGGTAATGATTATGCACGATATTGTTATCTTGGGCTCTTCTAAATACCGTAATTATATATATATTACAAGTTATTCAGAATTTTGAATGCATTTTAAGAATACTTTTCCCATCAACTGGTCAAAATGCACAACACCTTTGTATGCTGCATGAAAGCATGTGCACTCTGATGTAAACAAGCACAGACCAGAAGCACATGGCGGAACATGTGAGAGACGCTCTGGATGAAAGCGCACTTTCACTCTCTGACAGCAGATGGCGCTAAACTGCAGAAATAATAATAATAAATTCATTTAAATGCAGCCGTTACCCCGGAAACCCTGTAAACAAAGCAGCTGCACTACTTTCTGTTTCTGAATCATGTTTAAATGATTTAAACAGCCATTCAGATTTGCTATGATGTTCATCACAGCGCCAAATACTTAAATATTTAGACTTAATAGGCTATTTATTTTCAAACTTTTTTTACATTTTAATCTGGACTACAACATGCCCTAGATATTGTTTGAAAGTGTTTCGATTCTTTATTGTTCGGTCACACTTTACATCATTAGTTAACATTAGTTAATTAATTAGTTAACATAAACTGCCAATGAAAAATTCTTCTGAACATTCATTAATCTTAGGTAATTACAATATTTAAAAAA